GCTCCCCTGCTGGAGTTCCTGCTGGCCCTCTACTTCCTCTTTGCTGGTGCCATGCAGCTGAACGACAAGTGGCAGGGCTTGTGCTGGCCCATGATGGTGAGGTCTGGGGCCCCAGCAGGAAGGGGTTGGCTGGCTATCAATCAGAGTTGTCGTGCATTTTCGCCGTCACCCTTTCTTCAGTGCCGTGGGGGTGCTGTTTGCAGTTGGTTGGAGCTAGGGCAGTAGACCTGGCTTCAGGTGATCCAGGCCCCACCACTCAACAGCCGTGTGACCCAGGGCCTCCAGTGTCCCTCGGAGAGGCAGGGAACCCCAGATGGCGTGCTCACCTCTGGCCACCAGGTGGCGCTGGTGCTCCCACCTGGGCCTGCCGGAGTCAGCCTGGGCCACAGGAATTCAAGCCATTTCCACATGGGCAGGGCAGGGCAGGTTAACTGAGGACTTGCAGACCTCAGCCAGCCTGCAACTCATTTTATCACCTGGGAGGGCCCAGAGCCCCACCTCGGACTTTACTGTGTGAAATGGGTCAGAGAGAAGGACAGCAAAGGCCACATTTGAACCCTGGTCTCTTGACTTCGTTGCCAACATTCTGCATGATAGGTTGCATCCTGTGGCCCCATTTGAGGGATGGGTAGGCAGAAACCACGACAAATAAATGGATCTGCCACACATTTGTAGCAACGCGAGGTCCAGGGCCAGATCTCCCCACTGAAGAGCCACAAGGGAGCAGGTGACAAGGTTTCTACCTTCTCTCTCCCAGCCAAAGGGGAGATCTGCAGCCGGGCCAAGCCACAGGGTGAGCCGCAGCTTAGTCCATACCCTGCTGACCACTGGGCAGAGCACGGCAGCCTAGCTGGACCAGGGACCGGGCAGTCTCAGCTGCTGGCAGCCTGCAAGAGGCATCTGGGCAGGGGCAGGTGGGAGAAGGACCCCAGAGAGTGCAGGTGGGGCCAGGACAGGGGGAAGCCCCATAGATCCTGGACCTCTGGGCCAGGTATGTGTCCAGGCTGCCAGACCCATCTTCCTCTGGAAACAGTGGGATTCCAGCCCTGCATGCCACTTGGTGCCTTTCTGAGCCCTTCTCCCCTTCCTCAGCCCCCAGCTGGCCCCCCCATACTCTGCCCCTCTCTCCCCAGGACTTCCTACGCTGTGTCACAGCGGCCCTCATCTACTTTGCTATCTCAATCACAGCTGTCGCCAAATACTCGGATGGGGCTTCCAAAGCAGCCGGGGTGAGTAGCCACCCTACCCCTGGGAGAGGGGCGCCCAGCAAAGCCCCGCTTAAGTTCACCGCCCCGCCGAAGCCCCAGATGCCCCTCGGGACACTCACTTAGTGTCTGGGGCACATTCTCTCCCTGCTTAGGCCCCTTAGGCTTTCACGTGGATCTCAGCGACTCCAGAGTCGTCTTGTTGGAGATTTACTCTGCCCTGAGTTTTGAAAGGCTGTTTGCCAAAAAAAGTTAACAGCTCCTTTTCCTATTTGTCATTACTGGGAGGGGTCTTTGCCTGGCAATCCCAGCTGCTTATCCAAGCAGAGAAGAAACTGTGGGGCTGGCCCTCGCCATTCCCAGGCCCCTGGACCAGGGACCGCCAGCTCCTGACGATGCGTCCCATCCACTCTGTCCCACCAGGTGTTTGGCTTCTTTGCCACCATCGTGTTTGCAATCGACTTCTACCTGATCTTTAACGACGTGGCCAAATTCCTCAAACAAGGGGACTCTGCAGCTGAGACCACAGCCGGGAAGGCAGAAGGTGGGTGGCACCATGTGGTTTCCACCAGGAACCCAGCTGATCACCCCAGGCCTCTTGCTGCAGGGGCCCTCTTCTCCCTTGGGGACACTTGGCTGGTTTGAGGCTGAAGTAGGAGCGTTTCCTCTCTCCCCACGGGCAGGAAGCGTTTTCACAGCCTGGTTCTCATATCCCTTCATGTGGCACTGATCATAAAGCCAGTGCCCTCGGGGGAGCACAGGGCTCCCCAGGGCGTCAGCCTTTCCAGGAAGGGCAAGCTGAGGGCATGCCCCGCACCTCCTCCTTGGCGAAACCATCCCTGATGACCCCCAGGGCAGCCATTCAGCTCCCTGGGCACAGCTTGCCTGCCCACGGCTCAAGGGCCAGGGAGCCAAGCTCCCATCCTTCTCCGCAGCACCCAGCAAAGCCAGGCAAGCTCAGGCTTGTTTTGCTTTTTATATGCAAGGGAAGTGCAACAGCCGTTCTGGCCCCTCAAGTCATCCTTCAGCTCAGAATAGCCGTTGTGCCTTTACCTGATTTAAACAAAAAAAGCTGCAAGTTGGATGGCTGGTTTTTCCATCTGTGACATATGACATGACAACAGCCATATGAACGTGTCACATCCTTGGGGTGCTTGTGCCTGGCACCGGGCAGGGTGTGTGACGGGGGCTCTGCAGGGGTGCAGCAGGAGGGGTTGGAGCTGGCCACCTCCCTCAGGCTTTCCTCAGCCACAGCCCGGGGGGCTTCTGCCCAGGGAAGCCACCAGAGTAGGTGCCTGCCCAGGGGGCAGGAGTTGCAGAGCGGGTGGAGGCCCAGGAGCTGAGCTGGGACAGAGGGCCCGGCTCCATGACTCTGGCCTATAGGCCATGTCCCTGCCCCACCGGCTCCACAGGCCCAGGTGGGCTTTCCATGGAGAGGCAGATATCAGCTCCTGCAACTGGGCACAACAGAGTGTAAAGAGCAGGTGCTCCCATCCAGGTGAGATGCTCCTCTGGAACAGGTGGTCGTGTCCCCGTGAGGATCAGCAGTAACATGTGGCTGGACAGGTAGACAAGGGGAGCTTTCAGAGGGCCTTGGAGTTGGGATCTCCCCGTTGAGCACCTGCTGTCCCCACGCAGGACCCAGCTGGTTAGGTTTAATAACCCACAGAAACCGTCCCTCTGCTAAAAATAGATGGCGCTCGTCTTGTCTCACCCCATATTGCAGCTCCTCACCTCCATGTGGCCGCACCGTGGAGGTGACAGCAGCTGCCTGTGGAGGGTCCCAGGTACAGGGCTCGCCCTCGCTCGCCCCAGAGACCACCAACAGCATAGTCAGCCACAGGAGGGGCCTGAGCCCAGGGCTCCAGCTGGCAGCCCGGCTGTGCCTCCCCAGAGACGGCTCCCAGGCACCGCGGGCTGGGAACTCCTGCCAAGCATCCTCTGTTTCCTTTCAGAAGAGAATTCCTCTGACTCCGACTCCAACTCCGACTGAAGGCCTGCCCTGCCCTGGCAACCCAAGCACGCGGGCCTCCACCAGAATGTGGCCAGGGGACCAGGTGTGTTGGGAGGGAGGTGTGACTTATCAAGCAGCAGTGGGAATTGCTGACGGAGCGGGGCTCCTCACAGCCCCAAGGTGACATTGGTGAGCCCAGCATACAAGATGGCACCCCATGGCCTAGCACTGTCTAACCACTCTGCCCAGGAGGGCATCTTGAATGTTCCACCCCTTCTGCCCCACAGACCTTAAGCCCTTTAACCTCTCTGCCAAAAATAAGCACAAGGGGACAAAGCAGATAGCCTTGTTACCCCCGTCACAGGAAGCACTTAATGCTGCGGGGGGAGTTGGGGGGAAGGGGGGAACAAGTAAAAGAGACCCCCCGCGCAGGGCCGAGCCGCCAGGCCCAGCGGTTTTTGTCGGCATTAGTGCCCCTGCTCATGCTGGATGCTTTGTCAAGAATGATCCTTCCAAGATTCTCTTGTTCAAGGAGCACCAGTTCCTGCTTCATTCTTGAAGCAGGGAGAAAACTGACCTTTGCCCTATCATCTAGGCGAGAGTGGGTCTCGGTGCCCAACTGACACCTCACACCCTTGGAGACCATGTCATCTTAGGGTGACATGACTCTTCTGGGTCTAAGACTGTTTGAAAGTAATGCTCGTAGACTGACTAAGTAGGTTCAAGAGATCGAGGGTACCAAAGGATGCAACAGCAGGGACAGCATCCCGGGTAGCTGGCAGGCCCAGCCAAACCCCCTCTCTCCCTGGGGCCCACGGCAGGTGAGAAGTCACTGGGCACTCAGGACAGTGTGCTTCTAGATGCCAGAGCAGGTCTCCTGACTGCCTCAAGGGGCAAGACGTGCCTTCTGTGTGCACCTAAGGACCTAGGCTGTGTATATATCTTCAGTGGGATTTTATACAACTTTATATCATTTTTTATACAAAAGCAGCTTCTTAAATTGCATTTCCTGTGACCCAAGGGGACTCATGAATGAGCCAGAGTTTGGACCCACGTTTTGGGCATTTGTAACCTTTATTTTTCCCTTGCATGTGAACCTACCCTGGAAAAAGCCATAATGGATTAAACCAGACTTGCTCCCTGCTTGGAGTGTGTGTGTTTGCACCAACCTTACACCCACCGAGTAAAGCTGTCTGGCTCCACGCTTTAGCCCAGCACAGTGGGGGGAATCCTGACACCTCAGGGTTCAGCAACAATGCATGCGTGCTTGCTCCGTGCCAGGCACCCTAAGCGTCTGACTCGTCTTCTCTTCCTTACTCCTCACACGATGCTAGTTTATAGTTGAGAAAACTGCCAGAAGTTTCAGTGACTAGCCTAGGTCACTGCAGCCCCTTCAAGGCAGCCCAGGGCTCTCTCACTTATGTGTTAGGATGACGTCCCATGGCAGCCTCTCAGGCAGCCAGAACCTGGGGCTCTCGTGGTTTGGAAACTGGTTGCACAAGGGACCTCAGAGTGGCAGGCCGGGAGGACCCTGGGTCAGCATTTGGCCCAGGCCAATAGGAAGAGGCCAGGTGTTCTGCCCCAGCTTCCACACACAGCACATTCTGAAAATAAGTGTGAAAGTTAAAATGCGCAGAAGTTGAGAGGGGCGTATGGTGGCAGGGTCTGCTCCACCTTGCCAGCCCCCGCCAAGCCAGCCCAGGGGCCTAGTGACACTGACAGCACAGAGGCCTCATCCTGTGGACTGGGCTGCGTTCAGCTTCCACCTCACAGGCCTGCCTCAAGAATTGGGTCCACAGCCTTTGAAGGAGCAGGAGGAAAGTCAGAGCAAAGAGACAACACCATTTTTACATGTCCATTTATTAAACAAGAACTCCTTCATGACAATTTAATACAATATTTATTAGCGATTAGTGTTGAGAAAATTATTTCCCTCTACATACAAAAATACAGATTTGAACACTATGAAAACAATCAGGACAAGTACCATGAAAAGTTGGTCCTTCAAAAGAAAGGGGGAAACTGAGGGCAACGTGAGGCTTTCTCTGCTGTCAGGGACAAGCCGAGAGGAGCAAAGGCTTTGGGGCCCCAAATCACTCCAAATGGATAGAGTCCAACCCAAGAGCCAGTTGGAGTGCGTGGTGCCCAGCCCATGGCATCCATGTTGGTTTGAGAAGCCAGGTGGGAGCTCTGAACAGCATCAGCCAAAGTTTGCCAAATAGGCATCACCTCAGAAAGCCCCGCAGCTGCGTCTAAACTGTAGAGGAAACAGACCTTCAGAAGGAAAGTGTAATCGTTATTAAATTAACATTGCACCCGAAAAGTGCCACTGGGCCAAGTACCAATGAGTAATCGTATTGGAGTTATTAGCCATCTGACTTGACTTCCTTTGTTAGAAAATAATTACATATTCTGATCCTTCAGAAGGACCAAAAAAAACACCTACAATTTTACGTTTCAATAAATCCATTCCTTCATTTTGCACCGGCTCAGCTAGTGTACTCGAGACTTTTCCTGACCAGACATAACTCAGTCCTGCAGGGGTGGGACAACCGAAGGAGCAGCTCAAGTGTGACCTGTGTCTTGACTTCATCAAGCTCCTCACAGCAGGGCATCCATTTTGTTCAGGCCAAAACCAGAAAGGGCCACCGAGCCTACCCAGCGCATCCCCGCAGCAATCTGAAATCCGAGTGGAAGGTGAGCCCATGGCCCAGGGAGGCGCTCCGGGAAGCGCCCCACACAGACAGAGGGAGGCGGGTGGCAAAGCTAGCGGGACAGCCTGAGCTGATCCGGAGACACCGGGCCAGAGAACGCCCTCCGGGCCACTAGCCCACAACGGGGCTTTTCACCATTTTGGACCCAAAGACGGGGCAGTCAGAGCACCGAGGATGTTCTGTTCTTTTTTTAAATATGGAGCCACTTTCCTCGTCCTGTTTGAGGTGAGGAGTGGCTCTCCAAACTGAACAAGTGGTTAAAAAATGCCAAATGCAATTTTACTGATTAATAATTATTTCACAGAAATATACTCTTCCTCTCAGACTATTTAAATAAGCAGAAACAAGATGCTGGGGAGATAGCAGCAGAGAAGAGACAGGAATAGTCAGGGTTTTTTTCTTTTTTAAAATACATATGAAGTTTAAAGGGAAAATGGCCAAACCTCAGAACCAGCATTGCTGAAAGCAATGTTAAAAGGACACAATCTAAAATCATGCTACAAAAATAGTGTTATCTGGTTTAACTAAATGTACATCTTTTTTTCAATTCCATGATTGACAAGAGTGCTTATGTGACACACGGAAGGCACCAAAGGTGAAGTGATTATTATTTGTCTTAAAATATACAAAAAGAGAATTACCTACTTCAGGAAAAAAAAAAAAAGTCATACCTGTAATAAATAGTTAAATGTTTCTGTCACGGGTTCCTGAACCCCTACAAATTTCAACATATACAAATAGTTTCGATCCCTAGCATTCTCTTAGAGGGAAGCACACTGAACAAAATCAAGTTATGAAAAGCACTGGTTTTGTCCACATAAGTCAATTTCATCATGAGGTGGGATTTGAAAACTCGTTTTTAAATGGGTTCCAGAGTGAAGAGTTGGAAGCGGGTGGCCCCTCAGTGGACCTGGGCCAGCTTGGGGGGCCATCCAAGCAACCCACCCTCACCCGCCCCCGAGAATGGGCCTTCCCCCAGCCCCTGGACCTGCCACTCCTCCCTTCAAGCCCCAGATATTTGCCTTCCTCACGTCTGCAGAGAGGGGGACAGAGTCTTGAAACTTGCAAAATCGATTCTGGAAAGGCAGGAAAGCAAAACAGCCTGTGAAGAGAAGCAGCCGCGAGTCAGACCTGGCCCTGCCTGAAGCGGGCACCAGGTCCCCACGCTGTCCTCGTGTCCTGACCACCCCCCGCAGATGGCTTTCCTGATAAAAGGGGTGCCTCCTCCTGGGCTTCAGCAGTGTCCTGCAAAGACAGACTCCGATTTGATGTTCCTGACTGCTGCTAACGCAGGGTTTCACACCTTCTCTCCTTTGAGCACAATCACGAAGAGAGATTTGGGGCCTCACCCTGAACCGCATCAAGAAAGCTGATTACGGGCATCGGAGACAAGTTGCTCCTCGCAAATCAAAACCATGAAGTTCTGACAGCTCACTGGTGATTAAGCCCTCAGCGCTCTCGCTGCTGCGTATTATGCATCCCAGTGCAAACCTGTCACTCCCTCCAGGGAGTCTGGATAGCAACGCACCTGCATTAAAGTCTTGGCATACAAATTGTAGACAATGCACTAACCCTATGCAAAGGATACACTGTGCAAGGTCCCATAACCTAGATTTTATTCTAGGCAAGTTGCCATTGATTCAAACTCAGGGGGCTTGTGGGTAACTTTTTTCTTTACTGTTATATTTATGGAATAAGAAAAAGTACAATGGAAAAAAAAAATCCCAAAGATTGAGAAATTGTATCCAAATGGAATAAGCACATAAACTAGACCAAAGAAGGGAAAATACATCAGGACCCATCCTCTGTTTCAAGCCTGCGACTGTATAAATGCCATTTACTGTGTGAAGAAAGTCAAACAGGACATTCACTCAGAAGAAAATTCTTCTAGATCTAACAGATAGTGAGGGTATTTTCTTCCAGACAGTTTCTAAATAAAAGAAATGTAAAAGGTCAAATATTTCAAATTACCTTCTTGACCTGACAGTTCTTAAGATTTCAACCATATTTGCCGAGAAAAAAACTGCTGAGAAGAGAATACACACCAGATTTCTTAAACAGGAACGTTTATAAAGCTCAAGGCAGGCAGTGTTAGGTCTGTGTCCTCCCTAAGTGGCCCCCAAACCAGAATCCGAGTCGCCCATCCAGACCCATGAGTTCCCAAACTCAGCACCAAGAGCCCACCCAGGGCGCCAAGGAATACTGGTCCCAGCGTTCAGCACTCGCTTTCAAGCTGGTCCCAGGACATAAGAGCTCACGGTCCCAAAGACAAGAGGATAGGAAGGTGGTTAACCAAGTACATTTTTTCAAGTCAGCCTGGGCTGGTAACCACGTCTGGCGTTATCAACGGTGCCATGGCTGACAGTACGGGCGTGCTGGGCCTCCTCCGCCCTCCTCTCCCTCCTAGACCTGCCCCCGCTCCCATCTCACCAGCCTGTCGCCTAGCTGGTCCTCAGGGTGGGTGCTGATAAAATAAGAAAGACCTGGGGAAGAGAGAACGCTGGGGTTCTGCAGGTTTCAGCAGGAACTAAAAAAGTGTCACACGCCAATGGCAGTCCCTGGAGGAGGAAGCCACTTTTTCTGCTCGAGAGAATCAATCAGCAGCCCTCGGCCTAGAAAGTGTTTTCACCTTTAGCCACCTGTTCGATGTCATTATTTCCCTGTGAACAAGACATGGAGAAAATGACAGTCAGGCAGGGACACAGTGACTTCAGGGTTGCTTTGTTTTGAACACGGATGGCACAATGGCAACCACTTCGACTGCCTTCCAGAATCACTAAATCGGCCACATGTTGTCTCCACATTCTATTCATGTGTTAGGACAGGTTCTAAAACCAGCCCACAGAAAATCTCGCACAGCCAGAGATCAGACCTTGGTCCATCTCTTAAACACACGGAGAGGTGAGGGTTCTTCCCAAACACACGTGCGAGTCTGCAAGAAAAGGTAAGACTGGGCCTCACGTGGGACCTGACACGTGGAGGGGTCATTCAGGGCTCATTCGTTGCAAGCACGAATTCACATACACGTGCAGACAAAAGACTTAGTGCTTCACCTCCTCAGAGACCGCCTGTGGCTGAGCCGAAGTCTGAATCACTAAGGGAGCTTCAAAGAAAGGCAGATGGAACTGCAAACTTCAACAGAGTAGGAATGTTTTCAGCTGAGTCACAAAGCTCTCACCAGAAGCATCTGACACGGTGGAGCTCAGACACACTCTATGCTTACCCGGGGGCGTGAGCCTTCCTACCAGGGGACAGTATTGGTCCCAAAGGGCTGGGGGTGTCATCCACCTCCCAGTGCCAAGCCTCAGAGCCCAGCCAGGTCCTCGCTGGCTTCCCTGTGGCCAGGCTGGGCTCTGCCGGTGCTGGCACTTCAGTCCAATGCCAAGGAAGACGTGCTGCTGGGAGTGGGCAGGTTCCCACGTTCCTGCCTTTTTGTAGGTGAAGGGGATCTCGTGGACGACTGCTGCTGCACAGAGTAAAACTCTTATTTTCTTTATTTTACATGAACTTCTCTTAGGAGGTTTTAACCTGTAACCGCCTTTGTCCTTCCCTGGCTTTACGTAGGGCCAACAAGTGTCTTCAGGCTTTCGTGATTGTAATCTCCGTATGAAAGGGGAAAGGTATCTCCCGCCAGGACTTCAGCAGCATGGAGGGAGGATAAAGGAGGATGAGAGGAAAAAAATAGCACATCAAGCAAGTCAGTGCCAAGATAAACTTTCTCGGAAGATGTCAGCATTTGCATCCATCTAAAACCACCAGACGTTCCACCCAATGCCAGAGGGTTCCCACCATCCGGTCTCCAGGAACAAACTCAAACGTGCGCAGCAACTGCAGCTCTCTGGGAGTCTGGCAAACACCGTGAGAGCCGCTGTCCTCCCACGAGAAAACTGAGAAACACTGAGCGCCTGAGCCTTAACATGCCCCGGGCCAAAGTGCCACTGGTCCATATTGGGACTATTAAATGCGAAAATAGGCTTCCTTGAATTTGCAAAGAATAGTCCCCTAAAGCCCCCAAATCTAGATTGTCTTCTTTGTACACAGAGCCAACATAAGAAAGATGCAGATGTCACTGCAGTCACCACAGACAACCACACTCCCTCCTTGACTCCCCCCCACCTCACGGCCATCGGTGCCGAGATGCAGGATTCTGCGTGGCACCAATTAGACAGCGTGCCTTGCCACCTGCAGCTGCAGCAGGAGCTAATTAAATATAAACAAATATATTTACAAAAATCATGGGAGAGCCTCATGGCACAAAGGACATTAAATAGTTACGGGGACATAAATAATTCCAGAGATTCTAACACTAAAATGCAAATTAACTCCTAGGTCGCTCTGTGGCACAAGGTGTCATCACTTTTTATCACCTCTTGGCATTTACAGTTTCCATGGGCTTCAGAACAATTTCTTGCAGCTGACAACACATCCTCGAGGCCAGTCGGCTCCTTTCTCCCAGATGATAAACTGGTTTTATTGAAGTGACTTGGGGAAACTTGGGCAACAATCCTGCCTGAATGGTATTCTTTTTTTCAATCTCACCTCAAAGGCGGCTTTTTTTTATTGAGGCCAAGTAACATGATTCCCATTCCCAGCAGGAGATCTCGATAAAGTTCAGGGTGGTCCTTCCAAGTGGGTCCCACTTAATGCAAGGCTGAGTCTTTGTGACCTTGTTTTCAATAGAACTCTCAGAGAGAGAGATAAGCCCAATTCTGCCTAAGCATATACACTCAACAAATGCAAAATAAATATATAAAATGAACAGATAAAATCCAGATGTCATAATCTCCTCGAAAATCACTACATAGACTAGGTTCGAAGCTTGTGCAGCATGGCTGGTCACGGGCAGAGGGCTCTCTCAGACCTGCTGGGCAGCACACCCAGCTGTGACCGGGCCTGGCTGCCCTCTGTGGGTGCGGACGGCAAGGTGAGTTACCAGCAGACTGTGTGGGTCGCACCAGCGGCCCACACCCCTGAACTGACCGGGAGCTGGAACATGTGACCTGGGCCACTGCCCCGGAAGGAACCACAGCAGAACTCGGAATGTACTGGCTGTTATTCGGGGAGCTGACCCCCAACCCCGACCTTTCAGAGACAGCACGGTCCCATTTCCTGCAGATTCCCCAGCCTAGCAGTGTCACCTGGTCGGTCCCCCACGCTGGGAGAGCAGGCGTTGCTCTTGGATGAAGACTGCAACAGCGCCCGTGCAGAGGTGGCGTTTTTCTCCCACGCGCTCTCCTCCCCACCCCCCAAACACGCAGTCTCTCCCTCGTTACACAGTACACTGCTAAAGCTGTAAATGCTCCCTAGGACAAGACCCTGGGAATTCTCCACGTTACTGCAAAATCTCCCCGCCAGCAGTAAGTGTTTTTTCCTTGGAGAGGGCTAAACGTAAAATATTAGAGCTAGCGTGAGGTTTGTAAACATTAAAAACAGCTCAGAGAGTGAAAACCTGACGAGTTAAAACAGTTTTTCCATAAAAGATACAATTAGTCTCCAACAGAAAAAAACCAAGAAACAACAAACTACAGCATCGTAGGGCCTCACTGAACTCATTCACCACAAGAATCTTCACTTCATCAAGAATCAGTTCAAAACCTCACAGAACTAGCATTTTTCCCAACAGCTTCCGAGATTGATGTTCATAGTCATGACCCTGAGGCACAAAGCGACAGTTCGTGCCTTCGGAAACGTCAGTGAGAGGACGCGTCGTGGTACAAATTCAAGTATTTTCAAATCCTAGGCAAATCTGCTCAGAATCACTTTGGAACTCCTCTCAGGCATTTGAAAATCAGCACACATCCTTCAAAGAGAGGTCTGTCCCCACCTGTGGTCCGTGAAGCCAGCAAATGAGCAAGTGTTCTGGCTGGTGGAATGGACTGGTTTTCCTTCGTGGCTTTTACCTGAGAAGGTAAAGCAGTTCAGCCTCAAAGTATGAAGGGTAGGTAGGATCCTGGAAAACAAGACGGGCCCCATATTCCCGGAGGAGAATCTGGGATTCAGGGAGGTGATTCATTTGAGGAAGAATCAAGTGACTTCGCAGCAGGGTAGGAAACGAAAGGCACCCCTCCCACCTGTCAGCGGTCTTGTGCAGCTGTCCCCAGAGGACACCGGCTTGTCCCATCACCATAAAATCCAGACTGCAAAGAGCCCCGCCTGCACACCCTCAGTGTCACACGTGCTTTCTGGGCTTGGCCTGTGCTGGCTGTCTCGATGCCCCAGGCATGGAAGACGAGGAGCAGGGGAGGATCCTGGCGGCGAGACTGAACGCTGACCTGGAGCACGCTATGGGGGCGGCCCAGGGACCGCTGCTCACTGACCGTTTCAACCCTGTACCTTCATTCCTCGACTCTGTTTCCCCCCAGCAGTCCCCATTTAATCCAAAGTCTTGATGTGTCACAAATACATCGGACAGAGTGGCTCAGAGTCACATGTGAAGGCTGTGCTCAGGGACAGTGACGACACAAAGTGGACATGGCAGCCAGTGAGGCCAGCTGCCCCCAAGGCCACCACAAGCTGGAGAATCCGCAGGCCTCTCCCACCCGCCTCTGTCTGGACAGCTGGGTAAGGGGGCTCCCTGCCTCACGTACCCGCCAACAGGGTCACTCTGAAAACCCTTTCCCAGAATGAACTTTTACCAAAGAGGACAAAATTCAACTTAATCACATGAAAATCTGACGTGACGAGGGAAAGAAAACTTGATTGAAAGGATGGGCACAAGGACAAAAGGGAGGAGGACGCTGGCAGGTCCTCACGTGTCCAGGCGCTGGATCTCGGGGCGACCGTCCACGTCTCTGGACTCTGTGCGGGCGCGGATGTAGTCGTTGGCACTCTGCTGGCGGATGCTGACTCTCCATTTCTGCACTGCCAGGAATGTGTTCACCGCATAGACCGCAGTTGCCAAGAAGCCAAATATCTATAGGAAACAGGCACAGTTAGTCCTCAGGCACAGCAGCCATCTACGGGGTTTCTGGGCAGGACCCGCCCCAGAGCTCATGTCACTGTGTGCGGCCTCTTCCAGTGTACCCCTAGTGCCCAGCCTTCCTGAATGTTTAGCCATCAGACCAGGGCCAAGTCCATAGTCACATGACCCACATAAAGTCCTGCCTGACCTGAAGACAGTCTAAGGTTTCTCTTGAAGTATTTTGGATCTATTAAAAAAAAAAAAAATCACAAAAGTGCCTCTTTTATAGCACTTTCATGGCCACTGGTCCCAGATGAGAAAATACAATGTAGACGAAATACCACATAGACAGAACATCAGCTTCTCACATGTGAGCCCCAAATCCAGCTGTAAGGCCCGGCATTCGACATCACAGCCCCCAAACCCAGACCTGCTGTCCAGCTGCCTCTCCCCGGGCGGCTCCAGGTGGGCAGCTCCAGGGCGGGAAGCAGTGGCGTCTCAATTATTGGATAATGACCGATGAAGCTACTGAGTGACACCTGGGTGAGCAGCTAGTTTAATATTTTATATAAACCTCTGAGTCCCCACCCCCATTACAAAAGTGCCGTATGTTCTTTGTAAATACAGAACCACACAGAATGCAGAGCACAGAGAGTGAAAGTCTTACATTATCTGGTTCCCACCCCACCCCCCACGGCATTCTACTCTGAAGCGAAAAAATGTCATCTGACTGCTAAATGGAGTCAAGGCTGCCTGCTTCCTCATTAAAACTCCCACACTGGCAGATAAAGCTCTCGAAAGCACATCACTGACACATCCAGGGCTCTGCTGGAAACAGACCAAAGCAGTGGTTCTCACACTTGAGGGTGCATCTGAATCACCTGGAGGGCTTGTTAAAACACATTTCTGATTCGGTAGCTCTGGGGGAGCTGAGCATGGCGTTTCTAACAAGTTCCTGGGTGATGCTGAGGCTGCTGTTCCAGGGACCGCACTTTGAGAACCACAGCACTAAAGGGACTGGGATCTCCGGTGGCCCAGTAACAACATCACTAGCAAAGAAAAAGCTAGAGGAGAAGAAGTAGACACATGCTAGGGGAGAGAGGAGAGCAGGCCACCAAGTGTACAGATCAGCCCATGTGTTAACCATTTGAGTGCACTTACCACGGCAGCAATTTCTGCTCCGGTTTTGTGGTTTAAAGCAGCCAGTACGATCGAAGCAATAAAGAAAAAGAAAGTGCTGAGTCCAGTGTTGACCAAATCCTAAAAAAAAAGATAAAACCACCTGAAAAGAATCATTTCATGCTTTGCCCTAAAAGCAACTGAAGAACTTTCAAAACAGGAAGCACAGTACCCAGGCTCTCTGAGGGCTCCATGTTTCAATCGTGATGGCCCAGGGTATTGGTCACACAAAGGAAGGCAAAGATGGTAACAGTTTATGATGCTACTTGATAAATCACCAGAGCAAAATCCAACTTTTAACCAAGCATGTTACCATTTCTTAATGACTTATTATAGAAACCCAAACTGCTAACCCATCAAGGACATGCACGCTAATTACCATTTAGAGTTCTATTGTCATCTTTTAAAAACACATTCAGATCATCTTGGCATGGACAAAACTCCCCGGGAGTCCAGAAGGTACAGAAACTGGTGAAACCCCCTCCTTCGTATGTGACATCTCAAGCGCACTGTTCTCAGACCCAGAGGACACACACAGCCAGACCTCATACTCTTTCTTACGCATGGTCCTTCAGGCCTTGTGCTGCTAAAGCCTAGGGGATTTTCTCCTAAGCTTCTTGCAAAGCAAACTGGGTTACATATCCAGTGCTTCGAAGACTTAACTCCCGCCTTACTTCTCGAGAGGAACATAGCACAGTGATTAAGAGCCACAGCCAGACGAGGGTCCGAACCAACCACGACTTTGGACAAGCCACTTTGCTTCTCTAAAGTGTGTTTTACGTGAGCATAGTACCCCCTCCTCCCGGAGTTGTTTTAAGGATTAAGTAGAACAATGCACGTGAAGGACAAGGCACAATGCTCGGGTTAGAGTTGGGGTTCCCTGCATGTTTACTGTCACTTCTGTCATTAATACTTCGGCATCAGGTCCCTGACAGCCTGGGTCATACCAGAGTACCTCTGTGATCTCCACTGGGAAAGAAAATCCACATGAAATCCTACACTGCTTAAGCGCCAGGCTGACTGTAGCATCACCAGGTGGGTCCTCCTGGCTGGCCTGGCTTCATCATACGGTGCTGCACCTGTATGACCAGGACCCTCCTGGTCAGCGCTTCTGGGCGGGCTCACGGAGAGCAGCAAGGACTGACTAAGAAACTGTTCAGAAAGGTCTGCCAGCAGGACAGTTCTCACCATGACAGGCATTAAGACATGGCAAATTTTTCACAAAGTCAAACCAGGAAGTGTTTAGTTACGCTCAGCTCTGGGTAAGGTGCTACAGGGATAAAAAAGAATATAAAATGTATTTTCTAATCCAAAGACTATCTAGAACTGGGGAAGGTGTTTTATGATACAATGCTGAGGCCAAACAAAATAGTAGGTACTTTAATGGTGACTATATAAAAATATAAATGTGGAACAGGGCCAAAAGGTATCAGATTTTGAAGAGGTTCATATTATGTGTCTATGAATTCCACATTTGGAAATCCACTTTCAACATCATACTAGTGCAAAAAGGTCTAAGTAAAAGGATGTTCATCATGATATTATTTAAAACAGCAAAAGACTAGAAGGAAACAAAAGGCTCAAGAATGGGGGGTTTGTTAAATAAAATGGCTTTCCATCATCGAACACTATGCAGTTCATTAAAAATACTGATATAGTTGCATATTCAACATGGAAGATACTTGAGATAGTTTAAATGAAAAGGCATGATTTTAATGGTTCCATTTTTCTCTACTCACATATTAAAACATACATGCATATGTGAAAGATAGCCTAGAGAAAAGAGCCTAGAAGGTGATACCCAAGTATTACAAGGGGTTAGCCCTGGATGGGTTATCATAGAGGATTTTTTCGCAGCTTTATTGAGATATAATTCATATACCACAAAATACACCCAATTAAAATGTACGAGTCAATCACCACAATCTAATTTTAGAGCATTTTCAGCACTCCAGAAGGAAACTTCGCACTCCTTAGCAGTTAATTCTTCACCTCTCCCCTAATCCTAGGCAACCACCAACTTGCTTCCTGTCTCCATGGATTTGCCTCTCTGGACTTTTCATGGACACTGATTTATGTAACGTGGTCTTTTGTGACTGGCCCCTTCCACTTAGTGTAATAGTTCAAAGGCTCCTTCATGTTATAGCATATACCAATACTCCATTCCTTTTTATTACTGAATAATATTCCATTGTACAAATGCACCACATTTTATATATCTTTTCATCAGTTTTTGGACATTTCAGTTGTTTCTACTTTTTGATTATTATGAATAATGCTACTGTGAACTTACAAGCTTTTGTGTAGACATATGTTTTCATTTCTCTGGGGTCATCGCATCATTTTATTTTTTTCTGTTTTATTATCTACATTTTCCAGTTATTCTATAACAAACACTTATTACTTACATAGTTTAAAAGGCGAACTAAAATACTAGAAAACTTAGTCAGCATCAACTGTGTGGGTTTCTTAGCCAGGAAACAAAATCAAGGCTTGTAGATTCATCCTTCATATTAGGGGGCACACCTGGGCATGCCCTCAGATGTGGGTTTTTGGAGTTTTTCACTCAACATTGGTGCTTAATTTTTTTTAAAGTTTTTAATGGGACGTATACTCTATCAGCCACGTGCTTTCCAGTTTGCCACAGTCTTCCCCACCCACTTCAGTCTCACACCCAGCCCCTTCATGTTTCCTGTCTGGCCCCTAAAACACCCGAGGTGGCGGCACCTTATGCTGGGACATGAAGGGGAAGGTCGCCCTCACACGAACGTGCTTCTGGTCTCTCCTTCAGTGACACACCACAAAGTACAGCTGTGAGCCCAAGAAACTGCAGACACAGTTCCACAGGATCTGGCCTAGAGGGTGCTAGCTCAAGGCCTCTTGGCCATAACTGGCCTATTCATAGGTTTGACTTGTACAGTGTTCAAAAGAAATCTGAACAAGCCAACATTTAAACTCCAGAAGACTGCACATAAAAAACTAACTTCTAAAAAAGCAAAATAAAACCCAACTTCTAACTGTTCTTGAAAAACCGTTCCAGGAGTCTCATGAAGCCAGGACACAGCGGGCTGGGGCTGAGTAGGAGAGCCACCTCTCCATCTCCCCGGGCCCGGGCCCATGTTCCCACTTGCCCATTTATGTCACATGCCCAGCGCCAGCAGACCCCGAGTCTATAACCCTGCTCCAGTCCCAGGGAATGGGCCACCCTACAACATGCCTCACCCTTCCATACTCTGTGCCTGGCACGCACCTATTCATCCTTCAAGGCCCACCTGGAATCTGGCATTCTCTGAACTTTCCCCAGCTGATCCCACTCCAGGCTGCCTGTCCTGAGGAATCTACTCCCTCCGTGCCTGTGTTCTTCCAAGCCTCACACAAAACTGGACCATAGGGAGCACACAGACCACAGGAGAGCAGCTTGCATCTGCCTACCCTATGCTTTCAGTTCCCAAAACCTGGCACAGAGCAGCTGTTTGACAGTTTGCTGAACTAGTCACAGATGAGGCACCTGTAAAAACAGGGTCAGCCCTGGGCTGTCCCTGCGCTCGCTCCCAAACCACTGGGCTCTGTGGCTGGCTCCAGTCTCAGCACTACACATGGATGCGAGAGGAAGTTTCCAACCACTTGGTTCACACTGTGCACTGACTTGTGCTCAAACAGCCCCGGTATCAGGGACAATCCTAAGATGGCCGACAGTGGCAGCGACTATCTATGCAGAGTCTATTGTGCCAACCACATAACTGCCAGTGTCTCACTCAGTCCAAACTTCATTTTGATCCAAAATAGCTACGAGGCAGGACATGTTATTCTGTTCTACTTGTTTAGATGAGGAAACTGAGTCCCAGAAAGGATGAGTGTGGTATAATGAAAAATATATATTTCGTCTTTGTCCCCAGTTCCTTAGAATTTCCTGAGTGATAGGAGTGTCTTGTGTCATTCATACTGTTTTCAGCTGTCCCTGAGTTTATGCTAATGAGGTGACTCTCTGGAGCCCGTAGATAGTTTCAGGATGGGGGCTGGTTACCAGAAAACCAACCAGGTGATTAGATGGTTGGAACTTTCAGCCCTACGCCCCAGCCTGCAGGGAGGCAGAGGGGCTGGGGACGGAGTTCAGTCTCCAAATGGCCGCTGATTTTAATCAGTCGTGCCACATAATAAAACCGCCATAAAAATCCTGAATGATGGGGTTCGGGAGCTCCCGAGTTGGTGACTATATCCACGTGTCGGGAGGGTGGTGCACCCAACTCCAGGGGGCCGACTCCAGCCCTTGGGACTCTTCTGGACGCTGCACTATGCGTCTCCTCCATTTGGCTGTTCCTGAGTTGCATCCTTTATAACAAGCCAGTAATCATAAGTAAAGCACTGTCCCAAGTTCTGTGGGTCATTCTAGGGAATTATCAAACTTGGGGAGGGCGTGTGGGAACTCCCCCATCCACAGTTGGCAGGCAGAAGGGCAGGTGAAACTGGTAAACAGTTAGCCATTGATGATTAGGGAGCTAGTAACTAAAGGTTTTTTTTCTTTTTTGCAATTACTGATTATAGCTTTTGGTTGCTCACCTGCCCATTGCTAACTGTGCTGCTGAGGCAATGTGCTCTCTGCCTCCAAGTTGGTTCCTATAGGTAACATCTCCCTGGTGCCTGGGTCACCATGGTAATGGGGGTGTGCGCTGTTTTTCATGAATTAGAACTCCTCATCCACTTCAGGCCAGTTGAGACCACCAACCCATCAACTGGGCCCAGGCAGATGCCCATTAAGTGACCTTTTGACGTCCAGAAGCTAAAAACTCTACCCTCAGATCATGCTAATGCCGCCATTTTGTGAACATGCGTCCTGTGAAGAGGCATGGAGTCTGACTACCCTTGGGCAGACCATGAATTACCTCACCCCTCCTCACCTCCAATCATCTTTCTCTACATTTCAGACTACTTTGCCCCCTACCCCATAGATATCCCTGAGTCCCCATTTTCGGGCAGGCAGATTTGAGACTCATTCTCCTGCTTCCTCACTTGCCTGCCTTGTGATTAAACCCTCTGTCTGCTGCCATCTCTTTGTCTTGTTGTTTGGCTTTCTGGGTGACGGGCAAAAAAAACGAAAAGGGTTGGGTAACACAGGTCACCAGGAACCCCATTTTGTGGCTGGTGTCTGATGTGGGGGCAGTCTCCTGGGACTGAGCCCTTAACCTGTGGGGTCTGTGCTAACTCTGGGAGTTAGTGTTAGAACTGAATTGAACTGTTGGACACTCAGTTCATGTCAGAGAATCAGAGAATTGCTTGGTGTGGAAAAACTACACAGATTTGGTGTCAGAAAAAAAAAATCACACATCTATCAAAAGTGGTGTCAGAAAGGGGCTGGCCCCGTGGCCGAGTGGTTAAGTTCACGCGCTCCGCTGCAGGCGGCCCAGTGTTTCGTTGGTTCGAATCCTGGGCGCGGACATGGCACTGCTCATCAAACCACGCTGAGGCAGCGTCCCACATGCCACAACTAGAAGGACCCACAACGAAGACTACACAACTATGTACTGGGGGGCTTTGGGGAGAAAAAGGAAAAAAATAAAAAATCTTTAAAAAAAAAAAAAAAGTGGTGTCAGAAAATACCACACAATGAGTCATAGCCAAGGTCTCAGGGCTCTGCAAGTGGCCCCTCTGGGTGACTCTAGACTGTTCTCAACTCACCACAGCACCCAGCCTGGGTTCTCAGATCGGGAGAGGTCTGTAGGAGGAGCAGAGGCTGCTGAGAAGGAACACCAAGGAGGAAGAAGAAAAACCAGGAGAGTGTGGTGTCTCACAAGAGGCAAGAGTAGAGAGTACGGCCGGCAGGAAGGACTATGCGTTCCATAGCAGCTACCGCTGAAAGGTGTAGTCGGAGAAGACTGAAGAATAACCAGAGGATCCAGGCACACAGGGCCCAATGAGCCTGACCAGAGGACTTTCAAGCACGTGAAGTCAGGCTAGGGGACTCGGGGGAGGGGCAGTAGTTGTGCCTGGGAAGGACACATGGGAGGCTTTGGGGTGTTGACACAGCCTATCTCTTGACCCAGGTGGTAGCTACACAATCTTTATGAGTCTTCATTAAGCCGTATGTTCACTTTTACAAGTTTTCTGAACATGCTGTGTTTGACAATAAAAGGTGAGAAAAGAGATTTGGAGGCAGGGAGGTAGAGAAGGCATGCACAGACGACCCTCCTGTTTATGAAGTCTGGCTGAGCGGGCCATGACGGGTGCTGAGTGCCAGCTCAGGAGAGTGGGGGCCCCCCCAGGCTTTCAGTGGTCGGAAGGAGATGGAAGGAGAGAGGGACAGGGTGGGGAGGAGCCTGTGGCACTAATCAAGGTAAACACAGGTGGGGCCCATGGGTGTGTGAGCTCCTAAGATACAGAGAAAAACACATCCAGCAGGAGAAGTCCCACAGATTCATAAAAACAAAACAAAACAAAACAGTGGTCTCAGCACCCTCCTCTCCTCCTGAGCCCTCCCAGCAGTTGTGGCGCCCGCAGAGTTCTCCCCTCAGAGGCAGAGGGTGAGGCGGCCCATTGTGCTTTCCTGTGTCTCTCTGACCGATTCCCTTTGAGCTCACGCACATGCTTATTTGCAAAGAAATATCAAGAAAACCCAGTGCTATTAAGTTTCTTTTCTCATTTAGCACAGTAAGGACAAGTAACACAAGTCCAGGACAAGGAGCCTGGGAGTGACCAGCCCTGAGCTTCCCACGCCCATAGGGAGGGTAAGGCTACCAACCAGGGTGAAGGACCCAAACTATGGAGAGAAGAGGACACATGTCCACTCAAGACTCTCTGGTCAAACCACCAACCCTCAGGGTCCTCCCAGTTTCTTTGAATTTAAAAACATTCCTAGGCTTTGCAAGTTATTGGCATTTTCTTCATATTTACAATTCTTCCTGAATCAATACTTTTGTAATCGGCTTTTGGGTCCAGTACGAAAATATGAAAATATATTAATTCCATTTTTTCTTTCCCATATTCTGAAAATACCAACATTATCAATCTTCTCAGAAGACCACAAAACTGAAATGACATCTCTAAAGGGGTCAGAATAATTGCTATGATGTTTCTACCGCTGGTGAAGATTCGATGTATTTTATAGTTTTATTTAACCCAGTAAAGAAATTTAACATTTCACAGTTGAGTTACAATGGAATATTTAAGTATCAAAATGAACGGGAACCAAACATGACATGGAGAGATTCCAACTTCCCCTTGGAGCCCAGGAGCACCCGATCCTTTCATGGTCAGAGAGGGGTGACTCGTACTCACTGTCAGGTTCCAGTTGATCTGGGGGATCCTCATGTGAAGGTTGAGACTGAACAGAATCAGCAAGACTCCAGTCACCACAAATGCACTACAGCTCACAAACTCAAAAAAGTAGAGGCCTTCACACGGGGAGCACTCCATGATGGTCTCTATGCAGATGAACGCAATCAGGGCCAAAATCTAGGAAGAAAATTGGAAACATACATGTATGTGTATATTTAGTACACATCCATGCACATATGTGCCTGGCACATTTAAATATAACTCAACCACCACCACCACATACACCCGCAGAGCCTTCCTCTGGGGACGGCAGTATCGCTGTCAGGAATGTGATCTGATTCAATTCTTACGTAAGAACCGGTAGAGGGGCCTTAAGGAAAGGATCAAATTCCTAACATGAACTGAGCCCCCCACAGCACACTGCGATGTTCTGAGTCCTTCCTCTGCCACTAGTAAGGGGACACTGCCCGTGCACGTTTCTGATTTATAGTCTCTACCACGGTTATGCCAAACATTTCGAGGGCAGTATCCTGATGGTACCCATTTTATGCCATCTGCAACTACCTTGCTGGTTTACACTGAGCTCACACAGAATGACTGGGACCCCTGATGGCCTCAAGAGAAGGGTTGGTATAATCCTCCTTCCCCCCAATTATAAACTGCCTAAAACTGAGGCCCACTTAATTAATTCATGAGCTTTTTTAAAGTTTATCGTTGGACTTGATCACAAAAAGATGGACTGGCAGTTTATAACAACATTTAAAAATCTCCCAATAAGAGAATGAATTTCTTTCTGAAAGACCAAAGTAACATTCCAGCAATATGTCCCAGGAGGCGGCAGATCATAAAGTCAAACAGGTATCAGTGGGAATTACCAGGTGAACATTTAAAGGAAGATTTCAGGGGAAGGGTGAGGCTCAAAGGCTGAGGTAAGGGCCCCGTGATCAAGGGAAGATCAGGTGGTCTTGCACCTGACACCAGGTCAGTCTTGGGCTCCTGGCCCCTACTCCACTTCTTTAAGTGGACACCTCGCGGCTCATCACTTGTCAAGCCTGTGCCAGAGCTGCCAGGCCAGGCCCCACCTCAAGGGTCAAGGAAGTATAGGCAGAAAGCTCTGTGGTCCCAGGTTTGTCCTTAGAACCAGTAACATCAGCATCACCAGGGAGCTTGTTAAAAATTCAGAATCTCCACCTCCCCTCCTTGACCTAGAGTCAGAATCTGTTTTTTTGACGAGATCCCCAGCTGATTAAAGTGTGGAAGCATATGAGGCACAGGCTGTTCTGGGGCCCTTCTCCAACTACTGGAGTCCCACTAGTGCTTTTCAATGCTCCGCTCAACGCCGCCTTCTCCCTGTGTCTTCCCTGATTGAGTCTCTCCCTGCCAGACATGATTTGATTTCACCCTCTCCCAGGAAAGCTTGCTTGTCTGTGATTATATTCTACCCATCTTCGTACTTCCCATTACGCATCTCTCTGCCTCCCGAGCTTTTTGAGAGCTTGTGCTAGTCCGTCTCTCTCTACTCCCAAGGCACCAAGGACGGTAACTGGCACACCGCTCACAAATGGGGGCTCAGGGAGCCACTAAACACCTACATCAACAATTCCTGCCCTACCTGTCAGTGTCTCCACATGATAGGAAGGCTGGCTCTGCTTTTTCCATTGTCGATACTTCCACACACTGATTGTAAAAGACACCTTTCCTAACAATATGTAGTCTTTTCACATTTCTGAGTCAACACATTAAAGATATGGGTCTTTACACACACACCTTGTGCTTCTCCTAATGGCTCTCCTTATAATTCTCTACAGAACCAGAGACTTTAAAGCTCCATCTGAATTACATGCCTGACTTGCAATCAATTCACAAAGAAATAGTTCATATAAGGAAAACTCCTAAACCCTTTTTTTTTTTTACCCCTGTAATTGGATCTAGTAATCTTGGGCAAGAAATAACACACTGTTCTGATGAGTTACAAATGTTTCTGGTATGCTAACTTCAACCATATTTGTGTGGGAAGATAACACCTACATTCTTAAATATTAAAATAAAAATGGTTTTAAGAATATGCAAATCTCATAGGCCATTCAGTTTAGCAATGAACAGACACAAATCCCTGCTCTCTAGCTCATATTCTAATGAAGGAGACGTTTTTAAAGATTAAACTGAAAATACAGTATGTTAGGCAGTGATAAGTACAAAGGAGAAAAATCAAAGCAGGGAAGGAGAATGAAACGTAACCAGAGCAAGGGTGTTTGAAATTTTAGGCAGAGTGACCATGGAAGTCCTCACTAAGAAGGTTCTAGATTATTACAAAGCTTATTATGGTTTATTACAAAGGATATTAAAGGATAGGAATGAACAGCCAGATGAAGAGACACACAGGACAAGGTCCAGAAGAGTCAGAATACAGCAGCTTCTGTCCTCGTGGAGTGTGGAGAGCACCACCCTCCAGGACACAGATGCATTCTAGTTCATCAACTGGAAGCTCATCAACTCTCCGGTTCAAGGGCTTTTGTAGAGCTTAATCTGTAGCCCCCCTCCCGGTCCCAGAGGCCGGTATGTGGGGTGTGGTTCCCCTGGCAACGGGCCCCCATCCCTAGGTACTTTCTGAAAGCCATTTCAGTAACACAAACACAGGTGTCGTTGAAAGGGGGTTGTATATCAAAAGACATCTCTTACAACTTAGGAAAATTCCAAGGGTTTCAGGAGCTCTGTGGTAGGAATGGAATGAAGACCAAAGATATCTATCTTATTATAAATCACAATATCACAAGTATTCATAGGTAGGGAGAGACAGATAGACGATACACACATACACACGGCTATACACACACAATAGTCAATCATGGAATGATAGGTACTTAGGTGGTTTCTAATACTCTGTTTCTAATAAGCAGCATACTTTTTTTGCCTGCCTTTTGGTACAGCAAATGTCAAATTTTCCTCCAGCACAGTATATTATAACAATTATTTAAGTAAAACTTACATACTAACAGACAAGAAGAAAATAAAGACTCAAAGTTAAACTAGAAGCCAACAACTTCCAGGCAACCAAAGAGTCAAAAGGAACATAACAATTCTGCAGTGGACAAACGTTGCACACAAAATTGTAGAGACGTTCAACAGGACGCAGGTAAGCAATAGCTATCGTAGCTGCTAATCGGGAGATCACGGGCACCCTTGGAGACAGTTCTTTCCATGTAGCACCGACCAATTGACCAGGAGTAAATATTTTCACAGTTGATAAGCAGATTGACATTCAGAGGTCGTCAGATTTCCACAACTGTGACTAATTATGATTGGCAACATTAAAAAGCAGGAAGGGAAGGAGAAAAGAATTGGCTGATTAAGTTACTATGAAACGTTTTAAAATTTCATAAAACCCCGTTACCACTGGTGGGAGTGTCAACGGTCAGGACGTTTGCGGAGGGCGGTGGCAATCACGAGTCCCGTTCACCAGGACACCCAGTTCCCCTCCTCCCGAGCGCAGGGCAGGGTTGGAGATCTGTGCTGTGAGATGTTCCCAAGGCGGCTTTGTTCTCAAGATGATGATGCTTATGCTACAGAACTCCACACTCGCCCCTCCAACTTCTTTTCTATCACAACTCCTTTTGCCAGGTGGTGACAGAATAGCAATGGGCATTTGGGGATTTGGCTAATTGGAAGTTGAGTGAGAGAGATGTTAAATTTGGGTTTAGCTGTCACTTCCACATGTAGTTATTGTAGCCTTCCCACTGTAGGAATGGTTTCCAGATATGCTCTGATCTGACATCATGACGAAGAACCAGGCCCTAAAATTCACAAGATAAATGTGTCCTGCAATGCCAAGCTATTAGTATGCATGTGGTGGGGAGAAACGGGGTTTGAAACATAGAGCCAGATGCTAGTCTGTGAAGAATTCTTTAGATCATCAAATGCATAACACTGTATGTGAGCAATTCTGCTTCATCGGTGCCTAAATGGTAGTTGTGCCCTGTCAGGAATATACTCAATAATGCAGACTATGCAGTTATGACCACATTATACATTTTCTTCGTTTTTGGTGGGAAACACATGAAATGGAATTTATCAGAATTTCAGGGTTTGTAGGGCAGAAACCTGTAGCGGTACTACAAAGAGTGGGTACATATGTGTGGGAGACTACGATTCATGCATCCCAGTGTATCAGATCACATCGTGGTCTATCTGACAAATCTCGAGTGGACAAAGTCCGACAGTCTCAAATAAAATGGCACACAAAACTGCCTCCAATGCACTGAAACAGCCTGAAGAAACGAATGTCCCAGTGACAATCTCCTACACATATTCATCAGTAAGTTGACGTAGGTAATATAGTGTCAACCTACAAAAACAGAAGCCAGGTTTTAAGAGGCAAAGCGTTTATTTGCGATGAAACAATTGCAATTCGGGAAGCACAGATTCAGGCAGAAATCCAAATAGTGTCCCCAATACAGGAGAGGGGCTCAGAGTTTTTATGGGAAAAAGGGAGGATGAGGTGAATTGCATTAAAGAAGAGTTCACTGGTGCTAGATGAGGTAAGGGTGGGTTTGTAATTCACAGATTGGCTTGACGTTCAGTCAGCAGGCAAAAGGCTAGACTTGGGCTTCATTGATTGGTTAGCCATTCGGTCATCAGCAAAGTCCAATGCCATCAGTCCTTACAAACAGGACATTCTTGTCCTTACTGACTTCTTGGAGTGTTGGTGGTTTGGTCCAGTTTGAAAGATAAAGAAAACAAGAGGTGCAAGGCAGTTCCTCTTTCTGAAATGGCTGCTCCAGCTCTGTTTGAATATGGCTCCACTCACGTCATCTTTCACAAGACCGTATTGATTGTATAATGATGTCGCTCGATACAATGTAGTGGCGGTCTAAAATCTCAATGGTTCTGGTGTACATCTACATTTCAGATTGATTTTGTATACTTTTTCAGAATTAACTGATCGTACTAAAATTCGAATACGATCTATTTTAGTGGAGGTCAAAAACAAAAACAGAAAGAAAACACTTTTTAAATTCATAATTTAGTGCTTCTCATTCTAAATACTCACTATTGTACCTAGTTTTATAGTTTTAATTTTATCTATTTTTCCTTAAAGTCGGCCTCCAAAATTGTACGGGTCTCAAGCCCCTCAAAACCTGGATCTGCTTCCGAGTTTGCACAGTGAACGGTGAGGGGAT